ACCACCAGCCCATGCACCCCACCACCACCACCCACGATCACCACCACCACCACCACCACCACCAGCCCATGCACCACCACCACGATCACCACCACCACCACCATCACCAGCCCATGCACCACCACCACCACCTCCACCACCACCACCACCACCACCACCAGCCATGCACCACCACCACCACCACGATCACCACCACCACCACCATCACCAGCCCATGCACCACCACCACCACCACCACCAGCCCATGCACCACCACCACCACCACCACCTCCACCACCACCACCACCACCACCACCACCACCACCACCACCACCACTACCACCATCACCACCACCACCACCAGCCCATGCACCACAGTGTTAAGACACGGTGTTATAATGTAGTAAAGGGCCTTCAAGTAATTCATGCCCCTGGGATCAACAACTGAAATTTACTGTTCATTTATCTCCAGTAATTATGGCTGTTATAGATCTTAGAAGATCAGTGAAGACATGCAGATGAGAGTAGTTTGGCAGCAGTCTCACATATCACGTCTTAAGATATATAGAGCTGGAACAAGACAATCGGGAGAAGAGTCACAATAATGTGGCTGAAGCATGTTGACCAGACCAAACAATAGAAAGTGAAGCGACGACGACGTTTCGGTCCGTCCTGGACCATTTTTAAGTCGATTGTGATAATGGCTTAAGTCGAATGGCACATTCGACTTGAGAATGGTCCAGGACGGACGGAAACGTCGTCGTCCCTTCACTTTCTAGTGTGTGGTCTGGTCAACAATTGGGAGAAGGCTGTTGACCTGAGCACAGCATAAGTACCAGAAAATCTGCTGATTCTGTTAAGTGAAAATAATATTAAACCTTACAAAGAGATCTACAAGAACTCCACAGATGGTCTGGAGACTGACAAATGCTTCGTAAACTGGACAAGTGCAAGACGTTGCTTGTGGGGCCTAACAACACACATCACTGTGTGTTGTTAGTACACATCACTGTGTACTCTCACATCAACAGTACTGCCTTACAGCACACTGACGAAGAAAACCACCTTGGCGTCACAATCTTCTGATCACTGTACAAGTGGGAACTGCGGTAGAAAGTGCCCACCAACCATGGCGACCTGTACTTCAGAAAGACACAGCTGTTTTGGAGGAAGTGCAACACCGGGCAATAAAAACCATTCCAGAGCTTTTTTTTCTTTTTTTTTTTTTGAGATATATACAAGAGTTGTTACATTCTTGTAGAGCCACTAGTACGCGTAGCGTTTCGGGCAAGTCCTTAATCCTATGGTCCCTGGAATACGATCCCCCGCCGCGAAGAATCGTTTTTTCATCCAAGTACACATTTTACTGTTGCGTTAAACAGAGGCTACAGTTAAGGAATTGCGCCCAGTAAATCCTCCCCGGCCAGGATACGAACCCATGACATAGCGCTCGCGGAACGCCAGGCGAGTGTCTTACCACTACACCACGGAGACTACAAAATTAGCAGCAGCGCTCAAAATAAAATATAATTTAATATATATTTATATAGCTAAGTCATCTCTCGTACCAGGAACGGTTGAGGGCCACGGGGCTAACAGCACTACAGACCGGACATGACACGGCGGATCTCATTTAAACTTAAAATACTGAACAATTTGGAGGTTGTTGATCCGGACAACGTGTTCAGAAGGTGAGATGTAACACGAACAAGGAGCAACGGGTCCAAGCTCAACAAGTGAGATGTAACACGAACAAGGAGCAACGAGTCCAAGCTCAACAAGTGAGATGTAACACGAACAAGGAGCAACGGGTCCAAGCTCAACAAGTGAGATGTAACACGAACAAGGAGCAACGGGTCCAAGCTCAACAAGTGAGATGTAACACGAACAAGGAGCAACGAGTCCAAGCTCAACAAGTGAGATGTAACACGAACAAGGAGCAACGGGTACAAGCTCAACAAGTGAGATGTAACACTAACAAGGAGCAACGGGTCCAAGCTCAACAAGCCACAATGTAGGAGGGAAATGCTTCTTCACCCACAGGGTTATAAACCCATGGAACCGCCTACCCGCCCAAGTCATAACTGCCAAGACATGACACAGTTTTTACTGATGACATTAAATCATCGGGACAAATGGAAGGACCTTGACAAGCCACCGGCTTCCTGTTCTCGTCGAGATTAGATTAGATAGACTAGATTAGATAGATTAGATGAGATAGATTAGATTAGATAGATTAGATTAGATAGATAAGTTGACCAATCCACAAACTACAAAATGAAGGGACGACGACGTTTCGGTCCGTCCGGAACCATTCTCAAGTCGATTGTGATTAGATAGATAAGATTAGATAGGGACGTTGTCTAAACTTTCTTCCTCTTGCGAGACCGCTTGTGCAGATGCTGCTGGTGTGTGTAGCAATGTTTGTGTTGCAGGATGGGTCGGCAGGGAATGTGTGTAGCAATGTTAGTGTTGCAGGATGGGTCGGCAGGGAATGTGTGTAGCAATGTTTGTGTTGCAGGATGGGTCGGCAGGGAATGTACGGCAACGTACACGGGTTGCCAGGGCTGCCCAAGTCCCAGGTGCCGCTGCAGACGTACCCGAGGCCCCCCAGGCTCCCTGTCAGGATGCCGGCGCCGGCGCCAGCACCACCACCACAACCTCCCAGGTCGCGGACACCACCACCACTACACCCCATCACCATCAACCAGGCGGACCCTACAGCAGGTGAGGTCACTCTGAGGGGTCCCATTCACAAGTTATAACTTTTTTGCATCATAAATTGTTGGTTTAAAATATATATATTGCTTCATAAAAAATTTCTTTGAAAAATTTGTTTTCTAGAAACGGAATTCTCGGGCACACTAAAAGGGTCAGTGTCCCCTGGAAAACGTTCCATCACCCCCTCTGGAAAACGTTCCATCACCCCCTCTGGAAAACGTTCCATCACCTCCCCTGGAAAACGTTCCATCACCCCCTGGAAAACGTTCCATCACCTTCCCCCTGGAAAACGTTCCATCACCCCCTGGAAAACGTTCCAGCACCCTTCTGGAAAACGTTCCATCATCCCCCGGAAAACGTTCCATCACCCCCCCTGGAAAACGTTCCATCACCTCCCCTGGAAAACGTTCCAGCACCCCCCTGGAAAACGTTCCATCACCCTCTGGAAAACGTTCTATCACCCCCTGGAAAATGTTCCATCACTCCCCTGGAAAACGTTCCATCACCCTCCCCCCTGGAAAACGTTCCATCACCCCCTGGAAAACGTTCCGTCACCCCTAAAACCTAAACCAGTGCCTGGAAAAAATAAGCTCAGTAGCACTAGAAATATGTTCAAACCGCATACCTCTAAGAAAGAAGAGGAAGAGATGCAGATTGGAACGGGAACGTCGTTCCCTATATAGGCGAAGAAAACGAATCGCGGAAAAACTTGAGAGTCGCACCCTATCTCAAGAACGGCGAAGAAGGTTAGGTAGAGAAATAGAAACAATTGAACGGAAGCTACAAGAATCATACAAAACCCAGGAGAGGCAAAGAGAGCAAAAGGCCATCAGTGAAATAGAAAGAAATCCGAAATATTTTTTCTCCCATGCAAAATCAAGATCAAAAACCACATCTAGTATCGGGCCCCTGCGAAAGGGAGATGGAACTTTCACCGATGACAACAAAGAAATGAGCGAGCTACTGAGGACGCAGTACGACTCTGTTTTCAGCGAGCCATTAAACACACTAAAGATGATAACCCAAATGAATTTTTCATGGATACGATACCAGCATCAAATCATATATCAGACGTCACCCTATCCCCACTAGATTTTGAAGAAGCCATAAACAGTATGCCTATGCACTCTGCACCAGGCCCGGATTCTTGGAACTCCATATTCATAAAGAACTGTAAAAAACCACTATCGCAGGCCCTCCATATTCTGTGGAGACAAAGCCTAGATACTGGTGTTATTCCTGATATACTAAAAACAGCAGAGATAGCACCACTTCATAAAGGAGGAAATAAGGCAGAGGCAAAAAATTACAGACCGATAGCGCTAACATCGCACATCATAAAAATTTTTGAGAGAGTGCTAAGAAGTAAGATCACAAAATACATGGAATCACAGCATCTCCATAACCCCGGACAACATGGCTTCAGAACAGGGCGCTCTTGCCTGTCACAGTTGCTGGACCACTATGATATGGCATTAGATGCTATGGAAGACAAACAAAACGCTGATGTAATTTACACAGATTTCGCAAAAGCTTTTGATAAATGTGACCATGGTGTTATTGCACATAAAATGCGTTCAAAAGGAATTACCGGAAAAATAGGCAGATGGATCTACAATTTCCTGACCAACAGAAACCCAATGTGTAATAGTCAACAAAATATAATCCAGCCCATCAACCGTGAAGAGCTCAGTCCCCCAGGGTACTGTGCTTGCTCCAGTACTTTTTCTCATCCTCATTTCGGACATAGACAAGAACACAACCTATAGCACTGTATCATCCTTTGCAGATGACACTAGGATCTTCATGAGAGTAGGCAACATAGAGGACACGGCGAACCTCCAGTCAGATGTAGATCAGGTCTTTCTATGGGCTACAGAAAATAATATGGTGTTTAACGAAGATAAGTTCCAGCTTATGCGCTATGGAAAAAATGAAAATATAAAAACGGAAACCACGTACAAAACTCAGGCAAATCATAACATAGAACGAAAAGGCAATGTAAAGGATCTGGGTGTACTCATGTCGGAAGACCTTACCTTTAAAGAACACAATAAAGTAGCCGTCACAACTGCAAGAAAAATGACAGGTTGGATAACAAGAACTTTTCACACTAGAGATGCTATACCGATGATGATACTTTTCAAGACGCTAGTGCTCTCTAGAGTGGAGTACTGCTGCACAATGACAGCCCCTTTCAAAGCTGGAGAAATTGCTGACCTGGAGAGCGTGCAGAGATCCTTTACTGCTAGAATCCACTCAGTAAAACATCTAAACTATTGGGACCGACTAAAGAGCCTAAATCTGTACTCCCTTGAGCGCAGGCGGGAGAGATACATAATAATTTACACGTGGAAAATATTAGAGGGGCTGGTCCCAAACCTGCACACAGAAATAACATCACATGAGACCAGAAGACATGGCAGGATGTGCAGAATACCCCCGTTGAAAAGCAGAGGTGCAACAGGCACTCTGAGAGAGAACTCTACCAACATCAGAGGCCCGAGACTGTTCAACACGCTTCCACTACACATAAGGGGCATAACTGGCCGACCCCTCACAGTGTTCAAGAGAGAACTTGATAAGCACCTCCAAAGGATACCTGATCAACCAGGCTGTGACTCGTACGTCAGGCTGCGAGCAGCCGCGTCCAACAGCCTGGTTGATCAGTCCAGCAACCAGGAGGCCTGGTCGACGACCGGGCCGCGGGGACGCTAAGCCCCGGAAGCACCTCAAGGTAACCTTAAGGTAAATCACACCCCCCTTGGAAAACGGTAAATCAACCCCCTGGAAAACGTTCCATTACCCCCTGGAAAACGTTCCATCACCCCCTGGAAAACGTTCCATCACCCCCTGGAAAACGTTCCATCACCTCTATGGAAAACGTTCCATCACCCCCCTGGAAAATGTTCCATCACCCCCTGGAAAACGTTCCATCACCCCCCACTGGAAAATTTTCCATCACCCCCCTGGAAAACGTTCCATCACCCCCCCCCACTGGAAAATTTTCCATCACCCCCTGGAAAACGTTCCATCACCCTCCTGGAAAACGTTCCACCCCCTAGAAACATTCCACCCCGTGGAAAACGTTCCATCACCTCCCCTGGAAAACGTTCCATCAACCCCTGGGAAAACGTTCCATCACCCCCTGGAAAACGTTCCATCACCCCCCTCCTGGAAAACGTTCCATCAACCCCCTGGAAAACGTTCCATCACCCCCCTGGAAAACGTTCCATCACCCCCTCCTGGAAAACGTTCCATTAACCCTCTCTGGGAAAACGTTCCATACCTTCTCATGGAAAACGTTCCATCACCTTCCCCTGGAAAACGTTCCATCACCTTCCTGGAAAACGTTCCATCACCCCCTGGAAA